TGTTCAGCATTAGGAAGTAAGGGAAAATCTCCATCAGGTGCTGTCTATTAGAGCTATTCAAATTCTTGTTTTTAGTACTGTAGGGAGGGGTTAGAACATCTATACATTTATTATATATTTCTTTTTTTGCTGTCTGTGTCCCTGTTGGAGTGATTTCCCTCACTTTTTGTGTGATCACTTGTCTTAGGAAATCTAACTAAGAGAAAAGAGGCAGAAAATAAAACCTGACCAATGTTTTACACCCTAATACTATTCAAAAGTATCCAAAGAAAAAAATATGTACTCATAGTTGGTGTGTGTGTCAACCACATCAAATTCTTTTACATTCTAACCTCCCAGTGTTGCCTTGGTATTAAACAAGCACCTTTTCACATATAAAATATCTCAGTTTGTTTCTTTGATGAAAAAAGTATAAAACAACAATTTAAAACAATGGTAGGGTGAGTAGTAAATCAAATAAATATTTCATGATAAAATAGAATCCATAAATTGCCCTAGGGGAATGTTGCTCTTTTGCTGGATGCTGTTATCGTTTATCATCTTTGTCTCTAGACCCAGACACTAAATCCTGCTTGTAATGAAAGATGGCGATGTATTTATTAAGACGTTCCACTCAGCATATTACACTGCTTTACACATGTTTTTGTCAATGTATATGTGAGAAAACCTCTGTCTTCTATATCTTGTATTAAACCAAATGAGTTCATAATTGATTTTATCCATGGGGTCAGAGGCAGTTGAATGTAATTACAGTTCTGTACTTCCTACATGTCTCAGTTACAGATAATTTTACTTATTTATACTGCATACTGCTAACAGCTTTCCTTGTTCAGGGCAGGTTGTTCTTTTCCATCTTTTAAACTTTTGGTTGGTTTAGCTTGTCATTTAATTTTAAATACACAGATCTGATTGCCAGATGATAAACTTGCCTATGGTAGTATGTGGTTTATAAAATATATTTCCCCCATTTTCTTATGGATCATAAACATTATGGCCGAAGGCAGCCGAGTGAATAACGCAGCCGAAGTGAAGTGAGGCGAACGACGTTCCGCTACTCACTCCGGATCAATCAGTACGGCTGATTTCAGCCGTACATCAACTGAAATCAGCCATACATCGGCTGCCTTCGGTCAGCGGAACATGCTCTGCATGTTTGGCCGAGCCAAGGTGCAGAAGGACTTCGACTCAGCCGATCCAACATCTGGATCGGCTGAGCTGAAGCTCCAACAGCTCACTCGCTGCTGTTCGCCCCTTTTCTCATAGGGGCCGAACGGCAGTGAGTGAATAGCTGAATACTGCCGAGCGGCACTGAGCAGAATAGAAAGTGAAAAGAAAGGAACAAAAAAATAGTTGAAAGAATATTTAAAAAGTGTAAACAAATAGTCACATTTAAAGAAATAAAGATAGTTTAAAGAAAATTTTTTTTAATAAAAACCATTGGGCGATGCTAGCTCCACCCAACTTTTCCTATTGGCCGGGACCTACTAGAGTCTTCTAGCAGGTCCTGTCCAATGAATAACAACTGGGCGGAGCCAGCCATGACGTCACGGCTGGCTCCGCCCAGTTGTTGTTGTTTCATTACAGATCAGCGTCCCCAGGTCATTTGGGGACGTTGATCTGTCATTACAACTGGGCGGAGCGAGCCGTGAGATCAGAGCTGGCTCCGCCAAGCTGTCATTTGCTGGGCGAACAGCAGGCCGTTCTCCCCGCTTCGGCTGTCACTTCGGCAAGGTCGAGCTGAAGCATATGCCTTTGACTCGGCTGAGCCTCTCAGTCGCCTTTGGTTGCTGTATGGGCTTCTGGTTCGACTGAACTGCAAGGCTCTGACGGCCAAAGAGAGCCGAAGGATCAGCCGAAGCTACGGCTGGATCCTTCGGCACTTTAGTGAGTAACCCCCTAAGTTTAACTTACTATACACAGTTGTGACAGTTTTTGGGAACCTGTCCCAATTTAAAATAAAATGTAAGCTACCACTGTTGGCTTTTTGATGGGGCAAGCTGCAGAACTTTTATAATTATCCTTGATTTTTCCTTGCTATTCACTGACTTGGAGCATGTGTACACCCATTGAAGTTAGAACTTGAGACCTGAATATTTATCCTGTACCAGTGACTCATGGGGGCTGATTTAAGGTAAATAGGTTGTTCCCTTTGCAAGGAAATTCATACTTTCCGTTTAGTTTAGTGAATGAGTTGACAATCTGTTGGCTTCCATCATTCAATAACGTGGAAAAAAGTGCTGCTTTTTTTATTTTCCTTGCATATGATTGGGTATTCCTTGCAAAGTGACATTTTGCCACATTCACTAAGCTAAGGGAACATTCCCCAGCAAATTCCTTTGCAAAGTGAGCAACCTATTTGCCTTTCGGTAAATCAGCCGCATTAATCCCTAATCAAGGATGAGAATTGTAGCCCTGCAACTCCTGAAAGAGTTTAATGACAAGCCTCACAATTCTGTGTTTACAGGCTACTTTTAGCCTTAACTGTTTCATCCAAACGTTGCCTGCTATGTGACCATATCTGAGCAACAGCATGCAGCACATTGTAATCTACCGCAAACATTTGAGGCTATCATGTTAACATTCTACCCCTCCTATGAAAGTTCTTTTATTCTTTATTTATATTTTATATATTGGTACACTAGTTTTTTTTAGCTTTAAGAAAGACGTTGTGTCACTCTGCAGTATCAGTAAAGCATAAAATAAAGACAAGATTTTTGTAATCTGTTTTACAATGTCATGGTTAATTAAGCGAATGTAATGTATAAGTCTGGAAACAATATTATAAAAGTATTTTCTATGAAAACATTCCTATTTAGATTTGTAAGAACTTAAAGAAGCAGAAATATTTCTATGTCAGGTCCATGACTTCATTCATAGCTGCCTAGGCTGTGGTTCTTTTGTCTTCTATATCAGGTTACTAGTCAATGCAAGGAATAAATATGTATCTTATAGGCAGATTCTAGTCTTATAGCACATACCCAATATTTTATATCTTGCTTCCTTTGTAATGCTGTGACTGTTTACTGAGATTTCTGCAATTAAACCTTTTTTATATTAGATAATCATGAAATTTTTCATAGATATACTTGACTTTGCAGGCACTCCAAGCATGGCATTTGAGTGCTATAGCTTATTGACAAACCAAGGAAGTTTAACCCTTCATTGAGTAGAGATCATTGAAGTCTGGATGGCCAGACCAAATTTAGAAGCATCATTAGGTATTAGCTAACTTGACAATAACTCTTTTACTAACTTGCCTACCTAAATAATCATTACTTTTTTAACCCCTAATAATAAAGGTAACACAAACCCCAAAGCCTGAACCCAATTTTGCAACTTCAGCATGTGTTGGTAAAACTGTAGATATCCTTGCAACTACTTAGTGTATCCAGGTGAATTATATCCGGTTTTATATGGCAAATTGGGCCTTTATTTGGTGATAAATTGTAATATCTCCTGATTTTGATTTATTAGCAAGGGAAATCTGGCCCAAAATAATTTTTATTTTAATTTTAGCTATATATTTCTTGCCATTACCATGACTACTGATGTGTATGGGGATACTACATGTGTGCATTATTTGTTGCTTGTACCCATAGTAGAGCCAAACAAAGTGTACATTTTTTAAATAATTTTTTGTTTTATTTGTTTTATTCTACCTATCACACGCAGACACTGACACTAAATATAAAACGGTGGTCCTGTGGTTATTCAATGTCACTCAATACCATAGTGAGTGCACGCATGAGTGTGCTGTAAGTTGGGTCTCTGTCATGGCTGATCTGGTGTCATATCCATACTGCTTATGGGAGGCTACCCGATGCAGGCTTTTTGGTGCCCTTCAACTAGACAGATGTATCCGATCAGGTTTCGCTGTTTTGTTTAAACGGGCAGTCACATCTTACCATATGAGAGTTCTGTTTTAAAGTGCTATAAAGGGCATGTAGGATAACCTCATATTCCTACGATTATGTGAAATTTTTTACCTCACTTTTGCGAGAATTATGATGTCACTTTAAGGTCAGAGGTTGCACTTATTTTACAGGTGAGCTATTGGATAAAAGGGACCCTGTGGTGACGCTGTTTATTCTTTACAACAAATTCCAGTAACCTTATGTGAAAATATACATTCAAGTTTTGTATGTAACAACATAGCATACATTGTAGTTTCTCCTGGGAGTCATTACTAATAAACTGGTAATAGAAAAGACAACATTATACACATGAATACTCTTAAGACAGCAGGTATTAATGACAGTGTTGTCAGCAACTCATAGGGAATAAGTTGCCCACTTTACCATGTTTACAACTCAAGTTCCTGAGGTCGTCTTAGTAACTTCATACATTGCTTGATTGTTGGTAAATTGTTAGTCTTCCATGAATGGTCATGTAGTATGTATGGGCGATAGAAAGTGCAAACTAATCTGAACTAACAGGAGATTTAGGTAAATAATATGTTGCAGACTTAGGCTAGGTTCACACCTAGGCGACTCCGGACCGAGGCGCCAATCCGTGCTGTTTTGTGCACTATTGACATGCGGTCGGGAGTCGCCAAGGTGTGAACCGATCGCGCTGTGGGTGCCATTATTTTCTAATGGCACCCCAGTCACGCCGAGCAGATTGCGCACTTTCCCACAGTGAGTCGTTTGTTGCAAAAAAAGGTACTTGTACATTTTTTTAGTGATTGCCTTGCGGATGTCACCCCATTGAAGTCAATGGGGCCGCGCGGCAATCACTGTGTGCACCTGACGTGCGTCCCGGGTGTCATGCGATGTAGTGCAGGTGTGATCCTACCCTTATGGTAAATAGTCAGGTTTATTTAATATTCATCCAACAACTGGGGCAAAATGGTGTTTCAGAAGCATTAGATTCGCCAGCCTGACCAATTGTCTATGAAACATAAAATCAGTTCACTCATCTATACTTTTAAACTCTTTGGAAAATTGACATGTGAGTTGCCTAAAATCACTAATACTAAAACATTTTTTTTGTTCCTGTAGGATCCCCACAGAAATTAGTATCTCCAAAACAAGACTGTGAAGAAAGTAAGCAAGAAAAAGTCTTAGATAAAGGTAGTGAAAGTGGAACATCATGTAATGAACTGTCTACGTCTAGTTGTGATAGCCAATCAGAAGCTAGTACCCCTCAAGAAAATACATCTGTGCTTCAGCAATCATCTTCTCATCAACAGAATACTTTAACTCTGGATCGGCCATCAAAGAAGAACCAAGTCCAGTGGGTTCCATCACCAGACAAACGCAGGAACAGTGAACTTTTTCAAACACTGATTAGTAAGTCTAGGGATAACAACCTTTCTAAAAGGAGAGTCTCTGAGAAGCCAAGCATTGAGGAGGAAATGAAAAAATGTATACAAGAGTTTAAAAAAATTAAAATTCCAGATTATTTTCCAGAGAAAAAACGTCCATGGCAGATGGAATTACTAGAAAAATATAATTTGTAGGAACATTCTATTTATTAGTGAAATATCTGCGCTATGTTTGTGTACTTCTACTAAACTCCTTTCCATACACAAAATACACCAAGTATACAGTTCGGTATATGGAATTAAAAATACTTGTAATACTTATGTGACTTTTTGACATACCATTCAAATATTGAAACTTTCAGATATCCCCACAAAGATTACGCTACAGTGGGAAATTCAGCGTAAAAAATGCATGTGCTCACATTAATGACTATACATTCTGCAAATACCTTTTCACAACTGTATTTATTATGGCAATTTTGATGACTTTTACGATAACAAATAAACAGTGATGACAAGATTGACTTCTGTAGATAAAACCAGTAGACATACAGTATTTCTGAAGTTCCATTCATTCTAAATGCAATAAAAAACTTAGATGCATGAGCATAGCATTAGAAATAAAACAAAAAAGTGTATGATCAGTGTTAATGTGTTAATCGTTGGCCTTTGTCAGTTTTTAATTCAGTTATAGACTTTAATCTGTAGTACTGGGCGTATCTGTGGAAATTAACATGATATGCTGTATGGTGATTTTTGTTTTAAAAGAAGATCTGTTGAACGTGTGAGTGTAATCCATGTGCTTTCCACTCTACTGTATGTATAGGACGTGTTAGTCATTACCCTGGTTACAGAAAATGTATGGCATAAAAAACTATTACATTATTAATCTTCAGAATACATTTTTTCTAGTTTATTATAATGGTGTTAATTGTATTTATATTCATTACTTAAAATATTAATGTTATATGTGGGTTAAATGAAATACAGTTCCTTAACACTGAATTGATCTGTGATTTTTTTTGCACATACCTTCAGCCCCCTTCAATTGCACATTGGAGTCCTCAGGATCCACTGTATTTGAATCTCCAAGCTTTAACACTTCCTAAGAGCGCTGACGACTGACCCACCACTCCTGCCTTGTGCACCTTCTATTAGCCCACCCAGGGCCGTCTTTAATATTAATTGGGCTCTGGGCAACATTTTGCTATGGGCCCCCTAACTCCATCACTCGACCCCCTACTACCTGACCCAGACCCCCGTATCCGCCTACATCACCTTCACCCTAAAAGAAATGAAAAAGAAAATAAATAAATAATATATTTCTATAGTTCAGTGCAATAAGGCAACAGACTCAGGACTCTGAAAGGCAATACTAGTAGTGATAGTAGTGATGGAGGTCAGCTGCAATGAAGCCTGACACACAGGTCTATGACAAATAGCATTGGATTTGTGGCAGAATAAACAGGTATTGTTTTGCACTTTTTGAACAGATAAAACAAAACACTTTCAATGGTATATATACCAGACCAGAAGGGAGCAAATAAGAGGTTTTCATTAGGGATATTCATATGCCAAGTACCATACTTGGTACAAGTACAGATACTTTTCCAGCTCCAGGACTAGACTAGAGAACAATTCAAAAGTTAGGAGGCAGCTGACATTTTAATGAGCATACGGAGCTCCTGGGATCCCTTTTTTTAATGTATTATTTGTTTTCCTTCTTTGTAATGTTAGAAGGGGCTGTGAGGGTATTGTGTTAACCCTGTCTGTACTTTGCTGGCTGATTTCATTATAATTTGTAACATAGATCTGAACGCTCCATGTCCTAACAAAGGGTTAAAAGATTAAATACTTGTTTTTTACATTGTACACTACTGAGAAAAACACATTCTACACAGTCCTTCGTCTTTCTATAAGGACAGGTCACTGTGCAGGTGGACAGGAAAAAAACTTGGATTCAGCCATTTTGCCTACTGCAAAAAAAAATCTGAAAAGGTAAGATTTTATTTTTCAATATTTAATGGTATGCTTTGTGAATGGGAACACCTAGCTAACATATTAAGGGGTTTTCTCAAATGTGACTGCAAAAGTGGAGATACTCTTTAAGTAATGACAAAGTTTTCAGCGAAAGAAACAGGTCCATAGTTATATTATAAAAGTGGTATGAAGATACAAGAGCTGAAATGATCAATAACTTAGTGCAAAGAGCAGTGAAAAGCTGTAAGCTTGAGATGCTTGAACTGTCTAAGCATACTTATCTAACATGATTTACATGATTGCATTCTAAATTTGTATGCCAAGTAAAGAAGTAGTTAGCAAGTGAATGGCAGGCAAAGTATTTCAATGATGAAATGTGTTGGAAGGCAGAGTTAAAGCACTTATGCTATGTGATTCTTCAAGAGCAAAGGAGTGCAGACTATTGAACACAGATCTAGGAAGGTAAAAATGATTTAGTGATTGGTGTGATTTTCAGCATTTTATAAGAACGTGCATTGTTTTCCTTCATATCAAATTCTAAGACATTATCACACTAGTGGAGACTGTATTTGTTGCATTTCCGGGAGTGGAAAATTATATGGAAGGTTAGAGGATGGTGGAAAATGAAGAGTTATTCTTGTGGTGAGTTCTGTGTGGGTACAGGGCATGAGAACGCACATTATTGAAAGTGGATAATACACAGCCTGGTGGCCAGGGGCGGACTGGGCCGGGGGGCAGGATGGCAATTGCCCCCCGGGCCTCTCTGATGCCGTCACGAACGGCCCCTTGACCGGCTCTGTGATTGGCGTGGCCGCTGCTACTCAAGGGGGTGCTCAGGAGGCCCCAGCGGACGACATCTAACATGCGTGATTAGAGGGCCGCGTCTACCTGGTCCAGCCAGCCCGGATCGCCTTTGCCAGACCCACCAGCCCGCATCCACACGCCACACCTCCTCCGCGCCTCACGCGCACTGCCCACATCCACGATCAGCACAGGGACGCGGGGAGAAGAAGAAGTAAGGAGGAGCAGGTGTGAGGGGATGACAGCCGCCGACAGACAGGCCCGATCTCAGAAGCAAGTTGCTGGAAGACTGCTCAGGAACGCCTGCACTTTCCCACACATGGTGCTCTATGATCTATTGCTGGGATAGTGGGATTTGTATTCCTCTATAGCTGCTGGTACATTGTGCTGTATATTATACCATATTATATAGCTGGTGGTATTCTGCATTGTGCTGTATAGGGAACTACAAATCCCAGCAATAATACATTATACAGCGCAATGCGGAATTCCACCAGCTATAGAGAAGTACAAGAAAACCCTGCAATACATTATACAGCGCAATGCAGAATACCGCCAGCTATAATGTACTATTGCTGGGATTTGTAGTCCTCTATAGCTGGTGATATTCTGCATTGCGCTGTATAATGTACTATTGCTGGGATTTGTAGTCCTCTATAGCTGGTGATATTCTGCATTGCGCTGTATAATGTACTATTGCTGGGATTTGTAGTCCTCTATAGCCGGTGCCATTCTGCATTGATTGCTGTATAATTTTATACTTTCCATTTCGCTATATTGCACACCACACTTTTTTTTAACTTCCACCGCCCCAAGCTTGCTCCTGCGATGTACTACAATCTCAATACAAACTAGTAGTCCATCACTGGAGCCATTTGTTGTTATCCTGATTAACCGGTTAATTGAACTTAATAATCGGCTAACTAATTGATTTTGAAAATAATCGTTAGCTGCAGCTCTAGATGAATGGTCACCCTACACCAGGGATCCCCCACTAACCACTAGGGATCCCCCACTAACCACCGGGGAGCCTCCACTGGCCACCACAGAGCCCCACTAACCACCAGGGAGCCCCCAATGGCCACAGTGGAGCCCCCACCATCCACCTGGGAGCAACCACAGAGCCACCACTAATTATTAGGGAGCCCCCACTGGCAACCACAGATCCCGCACTGACCAGCAGAGAGCCCGCACTGACCACCTGACAGTCCGCATTGGCCACCTGAGAGCCTAATTAGGGAGCCACCTCCCTGCATTATGTATCGCTGCGATTTGTAGTCCTCTATAGCTGATGCTGTTCTGCATTGCTATATAATGGTATTGCTGGGAATTGTAGTTCTCTATAGCTGTTTGGTAGTCATTATTGCTGGGATTTATAGTCCGCAGTAGCTGATGGTATTCTGCATTGTTGTGTAATGTATTTCTTGGAATTGTAGTTCTCTATAGCCAATGCCATTCTGCAATGCTGTACAATGTATTTCTGAGTTAGTGGCAGAACTTCCAGGGTCGCAGCAGTCATGCACGCGCATAGCCCTGACGTGGCATCCCTCCACTACCAGTGTGCTTTACATTTCCTAAACTGATAAATACATTCACACTACTGTTACATGGATGGCAAAAGTGGCAGACAGGGGCGGGGAGAAGAGGCAGAGCGGGAGGGGGGCCAAGTTGCTGCACCATGGGCCTCTGGGTTGTACTTGCCCCCTGGGCTAAAAGTTGCCAGTCAGCCCCTGCTGGTGGCAGAATAATCTCTAAGAAGATATACACAGACTGCTTTGATTTACCTAAGGGCTTGTTCACACCAATTATAATGCGTTCTAGCGCGTTTAGCTGCTGTAATGCACTGCATCGCATACTAAACTTCCCCCTGTGTTCTGGGGAGGGATGTGGCTGCAGTGCGATTGGCAGCACCAGAACTCGTGGCACAACAATGCCTGAGTTCTGGTCCAGTGGGGTCGCAAAAAATGCTACATGCACTATTTTTTGTGATCGCACTGGACCAGAACCCAGGCATTGTTGTGCCACATGTTCTGGTGCGGGCGAATGCACTGCAGGTGGGGGCACAGCTGTGGGGCCATTGACTTGAATGCACCACCATGCCCCCTTCCACCACAGAACACAGGGGGGCGGTCAGTATGCGATACAGTGTGTTCCAGCAGCTAACCACTTTAATTGGTGTGAACAAGTCCAGGACAGTTATTTATTTACACAAGTTGGACATTGATTTGTGGTTTTAGCACTGTTATTTATTGAAGCAGTATTGAACTCTCAAACCTTTTTTTCAATATTGCCCTGCTAAGTATTTCTTCAATTTTTTGCCCAAGCACTTATAATCATCATGTTTCCAATCAGCTGATTCCAACTCTCTCTGCTCAGCTTCCCTGAACTTTCTGTCCAATACAAGATTACAAGGGACAGGGCAGTCTACAGCAGCTATCCACCTATCAGCTTGGAGCAATGACGTGCCATGCCTTCTGTGCTGGGTGAGGCACCACCCAGCCCACCGAGGCTCCGCCCCATCCCATACAAAGCCCCGCCCCATCCTGACAATGCTCCGCCCCCATCCCACTGAAGCCCAGCCCAGTAACCAAGCTGCGTGGGGAGGAGCCAGCCTGTCCCTCACTTGCTTATCACTGAGTCATCAAGATTGATGTCCTCACTTTTTTTCTTATTTTAACACTTTGCTATTGGTGCAAGCCATTCACAGAGCTCACGCCTGCAGCACAGAGTAGAGGCTGTGACAGCTCTTGCCTCACCAAGTTAGGTTACACAAGCAGTGGGGAAACCCGCTGCTGTGTAACCTAACTATCTGTCAAAAGCTGGATGCAGCGCTCCATCCATGACAGGTTACACGGCAGGGAGGCTTTCCCTGCTGTGTAACCTGTAACAAGCCAATCTGAATGGAGAAAAAGCTGTCAGCTTCAGAGTTGAAGCTGACAGCTTTTTCCTCCATAATACTAGGTGAGGCTCTGCTCCACACATCAAAGTGGCGTAGCTTGCCTTACCATGCCTATGTGTTTGCCACCTTAAAACATGATATCAGGTCCAGTGCTTAGGTGGCCAGCTGATTCTGCAGGAAATTAAAATGTTTAAAGCTCAAGGAAAAGCATTCATTGTAAGTG